TCAAACGGAAAGACATCAGACTCGTCAGATGGCACTGATTCTTTAAGGCTCGCTTGTATCGCCTCCTTTATGTGCTGGTCCTCCTGAGAAACAGTGGTTTCAACTTGAACATTCAACTGCAAAGACTGAATGCATGAGAAGAAAACGGCGCACAGATGACAGACACATACATTCGAAGGAACCATCTGCCACGCAGGATCTGGTGCTCGCTCTGATGGACCGAACCTGATTTCATTCGGTGATGCATCAATGGATTCCATGGATAACTGAAAGGCGCGATTCATGTCTTCGTCCTCCGCCGTGAGGTCAATCACTCGTGTGGTCGGCGCAGGGGGGATCTGAGATGGCGAGATGGTACTCCCTTTGTTATGGTTTGACGCTGCCGAGAGCCACATATCTTCCCCCCTGTCTCCTTGAAGGATCGCATCGGCGGCTTTTTCTACGTTTCCGTTATGTTTCCACAATACCTTGCGCGCCACTTCTCGGTTCAAGTCTCCGCCCATCATGGACGCCAGGAAATCAATGTTATCTTGCTCCATTATATCTTCAGAGGGTGGTTGCATCTTTCAAGCCAAGTACGGACGTGAAAGATCTTCAATGGGTCCAGGGACGGGGGAAGGCGTAAGCCAGGCCGATAGACAGTGAGGTTCGCAAAGTTCCATTGTGACAACGTTCAACTAAAATTAGCTATATTGTGATAAGACTCTCATGGCATCATCATTGCTCAATACTTGACTAAGCTAATTTGCTACAAGCTGCGTATACTATCGAACCCCACTCAGCCTTGACTTTCGGCGTCAAAGGCGTTGCTTTTATGTTTCGGCGTGAATGTCCACCCTTCTGGGGCAGGACCAAGGTACCACTCCGATATTTTGACCCAGTCTTTGCTATTTGGGCTGGCGAGTAGCGTTTCTTTGAATATAGAATGATTAACTGACAGTCAGAAGAATGCTCCAGCGCTTACCCAAGTCACTTCGACCACGGAACGCAGGCGCACGCTCATTGATATGGCCTGGTAACCTCTCCAGCAGTCCAATCGGTACATATCTGTACTGAAATGAGAGCGCCTCGCACAGGTAGCGTCGCGTCGTGTTCACCCCGGTAGTGTCAGAACCAAAATGGCTAAGAATAATCAATCAGTGTCCACTAACTAAATGCGTAGCTCATACTTGAGACCATATTCAGCGTACTGTGATGGTGAAAGTCAGTTTTATGCGCAACCCAAGCGACTCAATATTGACCTTGCGTATAAGATCCAAACGTTCACGAGCGCTGATGTCCCACTCTCTACGTTCCTTGATTTCTGTAAATATCCAAGGTTTTATGAGAGCACCCCTCCCGATCATAACGCCATCAACACCCGTTGTGCCAACTCGATGCCAATAATCTTCAGAGGAAAAACAATCTCCACCGCCAAAAATTGGTATTGGTGGTACTTTTCATACTCCTGTAAGTCGAAAAATTGTTGACAAACCACAAGACTCACGATCTTTGTCTTTCTCAGCGGCTCTGACCGCATCTACGCACTCCTTGATGTAATCCCAGTCCGCGAGCCTGGAGTATCGTTGTTGACGAGTGCGTCCATGTAACTGGAAACCGGATGAGCTCAGGATTCGAACTTGGGCAGCATCATGCTTACAGTGATGCAACCAGCGCCGAACTCTGTAGACAACCGAGGCATCAATTTATGAGCCGTGTTGCGGCCATCTTTAACACCCGTCCTAAGTTTGACTGTGACTGGTATTTCGCCTAGGGCTTTGTTCATGCCAATGAGTATTTTGCCCAGTTTTGCGGAAGCGTCGAGTACTGTACGACGCTATATGACAACATCACCAGATGTAGAAGAAAAAAACGCACAAGCAGAGCCACTACCAGTTTTAAACACGAGATCGATGGGACATCCACAATTTACATCAACGAAATCGATGTTTGGGCCGAATTCCTTGGCCAGGACCTCTGCCGTAGGAACGAGATTGCCAGGTTTACTGCCCGCTACTTGCACCCCAAACATTTGTTCCGAGGGGTATCGCCGCACTAATGACCATTCCTCTTTGGATCCGGCAAGGAAAGAATTTGCCAATCCCACTAAATGCGCTAATGATTATCGAGTTAAGCTTACATTCTAGGGGGACTTACTCTCGCCGCAAGTGATATCGGCACCAAAATCGACGCAAAGACGGCGAAAAGGCTTTAAGAGTATTAAATAAAGTGAATTCAGTCATCTTAAGAACAAGCCTCACCAGGTTACCAACCGTGGTGAGAGGAGCGAGGTCTATTGTTCGCGGTAAGCCCAGGCTTGCACGGAAACTAATGACACCCACAGGTTTTACCAGTCCAGTGCAGACGTTTCTTCTCGGCAAAACGTAGGGGGACATCGAGAACACCATCGTCTGATGGCATGCTCCCTGTACGTCTTTGAATGGTTTCCTCGACATTCTGCAGAGGTTTGGTTAGACGTGCGGCGCTCATCTCATCTTGCTCTGGCTCAGTAACTACAACCGCGTTCTCTGCTGTTCTCTGCCCCTGACTATCATCGTCCTTGTCGCGGAGGTTTTGCAAATATGCGTTCGCAATTGGCGTAGGATACTATATGCGCTGATGAGGAACACAGAGAAGAACACCCCAAGGAAATCCCGCACACTTTCTTAGTACGAAGCATTTTCAGTATCTCGGCGTCAACAAAATTGGCTTCATGCATTGATACGGCCGTTTGCGCTTTCTTTTCCTCGTCGACTATAATATTGATATTTCCTTCTGTATCCTTGGAGGCATGCCCGCCCAGAAAGCGGCACTTGAAACCAAATCTTGAAAAGAGTCAGGGATTAGGGACCATGGTTCAAAGTGAGCTTACCTGCACTCGCCCGTTTCATCAAAAATAGGGCATCTCGTATTCAAATGTCCGTTCGTTTCCGGTTGTACTTCCGTAACGAAAGGTATGGTGTCTGCGATCTCATTGGTTTCTCGGATACGAATATCTGCTGGTTTTGCGGCGAGATATTTGGGAATATCATGAATAAAACGACATCTAGGCGCATTTAGCAAGAGTATTTGATACAGGAGATCACCGTTAACGTACTCGGAACCAAACTCACAAATATTTCCAGCTGCGACTTTCCAGCACAAATTGAGTTCATCTCGCACTTTTCCAAACTTCCTGCCTTTATTTGCCCCGCGTTGAGCTTTTCTTTCCTCCTTGGTCAGTTTCCTCCTCCCTCTTCCCCCTGATCTTGAATCCCCCTCTTCAACACGAGTAAGTCCATGTGAATGGCTGGTAGAATCTTCTGCGGCATCGTCGTCCGGCGCCGGTTGAAATGGGCCGGTTGAAATCAAGAACCTTTTGATCAAAATCAACTACAACCCATCGTGGTATTGTTCCTGGCTCACTCTGGTTTTATAGGCGCAGTCCCTGGCGGAAGGGATACAGAAGTCATACTAACTTCACACGGCGCGTGACGATGCAACAAATTTGTGACATATAATTGAACCTCTATCTACCAGCAGTGGTGGTGTTGTGGCCCACATTTCCACCTGGAGCATCCCCTCCTGGCAAAGGAAGATCGAGCCCTATCTTATCAATCACATAGTAACTGAAGAACATGACTTTGAATGTAAGAGCCAAGGCAAGGTGGAGGAGTACGAGCACAATAATGAGCAAGCGAGTCGCCTTTGCTTCCGCCTAGAGGGACAATCAACGCGAATGCTGTAACGACGGCGAAGATGCTTACGGTGGCTAGTATGGGGTATACGTTTGCGACAAGGAACCACCCAGAAAGGCCCACCGCAACTCCGACAAGGGCCCACCTAAGTAGAGGTACTGGAATGACGCACAAAATCTGCAGCTAATGAGGCTAAATTCCAATGGAACGGGAGTTTACCACGTACCGATACAGGAACCCAGACAAACTGGCCGTATCCCCAAACTGCTAATGCCTCGACGATACTCCACTCGCCAACACCGAGGTATCTTAACGCTAGCCAGAGAAGAACAGGAAGTCCGAGCCCATACGCATACACGATGGAGACGGCGATAGACAATAATTGGAAGTCATAAGTATACTTGTGATCTGGTCCTGAAAGGTATGAGGATATAGACGCTGCTAGGGAAGAAGAAAGAAAGAGGGTGAATATAAGTGTTGTCAGGGTCCAAAAAGGCCCATAGAGGTCTGGTGGATTGAGATGCGTTGCCACGAAAGTTCTGGAGGCTTGGGGCAGAAGAGTAGTGTAACATCGTTTTAGTACCTATTCAGGGCTTAATAGTGGGATATCGACGGTGTAAAAGAAGCCCACAGTTTTGGTATCAATGTCAAAATATGTCTGGTAGTATTCAAGGGACCAGAAGCCTTTGCTTGACTGGTCTTGCAGATATCCTATACACAAAGTTGATCGATTCGAACTCGATATAAAAAAGCGAGCTGCACATACCTCTATCTGCATTCCCAACGCCCGCGCTCCTATTCCCGCTGGGCGCGTTATTGGTTGTCCCAAGGAAAGCTGAACACGTTGCTGGTTAGATAGATGCCGAGAATCCTGGAACGAACTTGCATTTAAATCGAAGGCCATCTGGACCCTCCGCCAGTCGCTTCAAATGCGGTCAGAAACACACAGTAGCAAAAAGAATATTGGACGCACGTCGTCTGCTTCGACTTGGACGTACGCCATGGAAGGAGGTGTAGGGTTCCGGAAATGGAAGGTCCCTGACACGCTTGTGTATTTGCTCACCTTGTTCAAGCAGAGCCTTGAGTTCCAACAGGTGAATGTACTGCGCGGTTTTGACTAGCAAAGCATACGTTGAAGGAGCCAGACATCCAATATCACAAAACGTATATTGTCGCTTCAACCATGTGCTATCGCGCCCGTCAGATTTGGGGGACTGGTACTACTAATAATAATATTAAACGGTACCAGTACTTACCAGTAACCGAAGAGCATTCCATGAATAATAACACTACACGTATACATCGTATCGTATCGTATTAACGACTCGGCTGAGAAAAAAGAGTTGGACGTTCAGGGGATTGAACCCTGGACCTTATACAACTTAAGGATCTGCGCTTTATTGCAGGGCCTGCAAAGCATACGCGCTACCACTGCGCTAAACGCCCATAGGTTGTCCGTGGCTCTCACGCCAACAGAGCCTCTAATATTGCTAACATCCCATCAACTTCTATGTCACGATCAATGCTGGTCTTTGGTCAGCCTATATTCGCATTGAATTAATTCTCAGAAGCGCGGTACGACCTTGTCCCTGTATGCAACATCTTCTAATCAATGTTTTAGTAATACCGTCGTCACTCGGCTTCTCCTGATCCATGCGTGCACTGGCCACTTGTTCAGTTTCTACATATATGTGTCAAGGATGGAATATATAGCGCGCAGAAGATACCCAAAATATCATACCACTCATATCACCCACCTTTGCGTAAGAGCACGCCATTAACGACGCAGGATCGCTCGATTCCATGCGCCCTACTTTTTAAGCATGTCAGTGATTCCGTATTCTCGCCCCCCTATACCATGGTTAATGTCTGGCAGATCATATTTTCAGTTCCTTGGTTGGCAACTGCAACTGCCCGACTTGTCGAGCAATGTCGGACATGAACAGAAGTCAATTGCGATCGTTGGTGCGGGGAGCGCTGGATTGGCCATGCTGAAAACACTTCTAGACATGCCCGAGCACAATGCATGGAACATTGTCTTGTTTGAAGAAAGAGATAATATCGGTGGGGTATGGTAGGTAATGATATTGTTTCTCCCCGTGTTTCAACACTGATAACTTGGGGACAAGGCTACCTGATCCTAATCCTGCGCCTCCTCCGACTATTCCAGAGACGTCACTATACCCAGCCTTACGCACGAATATGCCTGTGCCTATGATGAGTTGCCCAAACTTCCCCTATCCCGCCGGAACCCATCTCTTTCCAAATCACGAGTACGTGGAATTATACCTAGTCAACTACGCCCACCACTATGACCTGTTACCCTACATTCAATTTAACCACCAAGGTCTTGAACGCTTCGTGGTTGGGAACGCCTGAAGCAGGACACTGGAACATCACATTTTTGGACCACCGAAACGAAACCCAGTATAACACTTTTGAGCACCTTATTGTCGCAACTGGTAACAACCATATCCCACGAGAACCGTCATGGCCTGGGCAGAAGGAATGGTTGGCCGAGACCGCTGGTAGGAATAGCACACGACGGGAGATTATCCACTCTGCGTGGTACAGGAATCCGGAGAAGTACAACGACAAGTCAATTCTTATTGTTGGGGACTCGGCGAGTGGCCGAGATATAGCTCAACAAACTGCACCGCTGGTATCGAAGGTGAGGGACTTTTCGAGTCTATGCTCAACCGATGCTCATGGTTCTGAAGAGTTTTATGTCAATCCGAACTAACCACGATGATCAATTTGCCCCCCTCCCGCCGAAAGTAATACGAAAGCCAGTGATATCACATTTTACAAGAGACTCGATAGTCTTCGCGGATAAGACCGAAATTAATGTCGATTCTGTGATACTTGCGACAGGGTACCAAGTACGCAAGCCTTTCCTGGATGCGGGCCACATACTTGCCACAGATCCAACGGCAAACTCGAACAACACTGACACACAAGTGCTTGTATGCAATACGCACTTACATTTTCCCTTTGCACCGGCATATCTTCTCTTTGAGTCCAATGTACCCCACCACTGCTCTTGCATTCGTTGGTTTACCGGTCGCTATTGCCAATTGCCCGGCCAACACCGCACAAAGCATATTTATCGCTCACATGATTCGTGATCCTGGCCTCTTACCATCTCGTAAGCAAATGCATGACGAACTTGAGCTACAAGAGCAGGAATCGAGGGATCTTGGCGTAGATCCATATATTCAAGGCCACAGAATGCCAAATGCAAACAAGTCTAATGACTATCAAGATGAATTATTGGACTTACCTCAAAGTGAAGGTATGGAGGATTCGAGGCTACCAAATTTAGTGTTCACATTTCATTCAGGGTGCCATCGCGAACGATGGGAAAAAGTTCGTAGAGGAATGGCGCAGAAAGGCCTATACATATGACTATTTGAAACGCGGATGGGAGCGGATCGAGGCGTTAGGAATTGGAGACAGGTGGGTAAGAGGTGTTTCGACGGAGGAACAGTGGTCGTACCTCATGGAGCGAGTCAATGCATGGCAGAAGGAATATGAAACTGCGGTATTGCCCATAGTACGATTGTGACTTCCAATTCTACATCTAATCTAGTCTATACAATAGGATGATTGACGAAAATGACCTGCGAAGAAGCATCTTTGAGGGACTTGACTGTTTTTTCGCATGACATCAAACCTGCCTTCGGACTTGAGCGGAAGAGCCTGGTTTGCCTTATTCTGATAATGCCATGTACATCGCATTAAGGTTAACATTATCTTTTTCAACACTAATACCATTAGTTACAAGTTCAACAAAGTCTCCCCATCTCGTCTTTCGGTTCAGGGTAAATGGACTGGCAGTGATAGGATTCTGCTTGAGCAGCTTGACTGTGAGTTTTTCCGGAAATAACCTTAGGGGGAACAGCAACTAAGACAAAGACGGGGTATGGCGAAACGCCATGACTTCTTGGCTGGAGGGCGGCGACGGCCACGCTTTTGCATCACGTTGACAGCGTGCTTTGAGTCCTGCAGTATTCTCGTGAGCAGAGAAGGGGGATGTATAACATACCTTGAGCTTCTTCTGAGTCGAAGGCTTGTAGTAGTAGAAGGTGGGACAGTAATCGTTCAGAGACGCGAGCTCCGGAGACAGGGGCCTATCGTTCTGGCCACCCAGCTGTTATGCATGTAATGACCGGGACCTCTGTCGGGATTTAGACACTAGTGATGTGGTTACAAAGCAGGGCAGGTAAAGTCATCGCGCTGCCTTACCCCATCCAGCCTTGAAACAGGAACGACGTTTTCCAATCTGGATTCTGGAAAATGGCTTTATGAGGGTCACTTTTCATCATGCCTGCAAGTCTATAGTTTTGCGGTGGAGGGTGAGATACAATGTTATTAATTATTGTTAACTTTACTAATCGTTTCTGCCTTGATGTCCGCTCGTTCGGTTCCCACATATATCAATGGGTATATAGTGCCATGATTCTGCTATTATCGCTATCAACGACGTCGATTCTAATCGTTCGGTCTTTAGGCTTTAGGTATGTCGGCGATTCCGCATTTTCGTTCCCTGGAACTTATGGTTGGTAGATAATCCTCTCGTTACTTGACTCACCTAGCATGAATGTGGTACATGAACGAAAGTCGATTGCGATCGTGGGTGCGGGTAGCTCTGGGTTGGCGATGCTGAAGACACTTCTTGACATGCCTGAGCACAATTTGTGGAACATTATTTTGTTTGAAGAGAGAGAGAATATCGGTGGCATATGGTGAGTATCAACGCAGCATTCCAACATTGATAACTTAGGAACTAGGCTACCTGATCCTAATTCTGTACCTCCGAGGATTCCAGAGAGCGCACTATACCCAGGATTACATACGAACATCCCTGTGCCCGTAATGAGTTACCCAAACTTTCCATATCCTGAAGGAACCCATTTATTTCCAAGCCACGAACACGTTGAATCATACCTGGTCAGCTACGCTCACCGCCACAATTTGTTGCCCTACATCCGATTTAATCACAAAGTCTTGAATGCTTCGTGGCTCGGAACACCTGAAGCAGGACTTTGGAATGTCACGTATTCAGACCTCCAAAACGAAACTCATCATGACACCTTCAATCATCTAATTGTTGCTTCTGGAAACTACCGTATCCCTCGGGAACCATCTTGGCCTGGGCAGGAAGAGTGGCTGGCGGCTGGGAACGGCACACAACGGGAAATCATTCACTCTACATGGTACAGGCACCCGGAGAAGTACAGCAACAAGTCAATTCTTATCGTCGGGGACTCGGCGAGTGGCAGAGACATCGCTAGAGAAACTGCAGCGCTGGTATCCAAGGTGAGGAGCCTTCGAGTCTACTTATGTTGGGTTGATAATCATACTTCGAAGAGTTTCATATCAATCCGAAGCAAAAACGACCATCCGGCTTTTTTGGTGCCGTCCCACCAAGTGTAATACAGAAGCCAGCGATATCACATTTCACACGAGACTTGATAGTCTTCGTCGATGGTACTGAAATCGAGGCGGATTCCGTGATACTTGCGACAGGATACCATTTACGCAAGCCTTTCCTGGAGGCGGGCCATGCGCTTGTCATTGATCCAAAAGCAAACTCGAACAATACCAAAACTGATGCTCTGGTCAGCAATACACGCTACATTTTCCCTTTGTACCGACATATCTTTCCCTTGAGTCCAATGTACCCCACTACAGCACTTGCTTTTGTGGGTTTACCGACCTATATCGCCATTTGCTCCTGTTACACCGCACAAAGCATTTTCATCGCACACATGATTCGTGATTCTAGCCTCTTACCATCGCACCAGCAAATGCTGCACGAACTTGAACTACAAGAGCAGGAATCGAAGAATCTCGGGGTAGATCCGTACGTTCAAGGCCATAAGATGCCCACTTTCGAGAAGTCTAGTGACTATCAAGATGAACTTTTGGATTACCTCAAAGTGAAGGTATGGAGCTCATTTCAAGATTATATATTTCACTATTCACGTTCATTCTAGGGTGCTATTGAGAACGATGGAAAAAAGTATACAGAGGAATGGATCAGAATGGCCTACAAATATACCTCTTTGAAACGTGGGTGGGATAGAATCGAGGCAATGGGAATTGGAGATGAATGGGTGAAAGGTGTTTCGACGGTAGAACAGTGGGCGGACCTTATGGACCGGGTGAACGCATGGCAGAAAGATTATGAAATGCACCAAGTTAGCTAGTGGGGCGTTATCTTATCATAGTATGCCAGTTCAGTTTCGTGACCTTCCAGTCGAACTTCTCTCCCCTATATTCTCTTACGTTCTCAAGCCAAATCAGCTGTCGAACATATGCCGTGTCGACAGGTATTTCTATGATGCTGCAATCCCAAAGTTATACTTCAAGGTTGCCGTTTTTGCATGGCATAAAGATGTGAAAACCAGAGCGAGTGCTGACATATTTTCGGGAAGTCC